CTAAAAAGGGATTTATGGTAGCAAAATAGTAATGCGTGTATTTTCATCGTATCCATTCATCCAATTTTCTATTAAATATACTCGTTTTATTTGTAGTAGGTATTGCAATTAAATATAAAACAAAAAACTAAAAGTTGTTTAGTCATTAACATTTCGTTTTACGATAATTTAATGAAATCCATTTCAATACTGGTATCATTTATCCATAATTAAAATTTATGAAATGATTTTACTTTAATGTATTTATTTTCTCTTAGCCTAACTGATTGAATGTTGCCATGTTTTAAAATTTCCAGTGCTACTATCAACTACAACAACAACAATTCGCTCAGGGAGACACTCTCCTAAATTCTAAATTGCTCATTTTCTGATAACGTCTGGAAGCAGCCTAGGCCTCTCTCCATGTTCGTTTCAGAAAACTAGGTACTCGTTACATTCCCATATGCCTTCTTCTGTCTTCTGTGTATGGTACATTCGAACTCTTTATTACAATACTGTCTTGAGACTGCTTGATAGGAGCACTCTTTCTCTTGCTGTATCTCTTAGACTAGGCATCAAGATTAGTCATCATCCCCATCGCTACTTGCCATAATGGTCTCTTATGCGTAATGAGCGGTGGTCGAGGCCCCCAGCCGCCACGCCTGAATCAATGACGTCATACGCAGAACTCTTGTTGCTGCATGTGCCAGCGGTTCTAGGGCCTATCCACCTCTCTTTCCCACCGCTGCATCTTCTGATCCACCGCTTGACCGCCAATAAAAACCCAACCAGTGAAGTTCAAGTTTGTCTTGAGGGAAAGTTAAACTGTCATTGGACCCGCAAGGAAATTAATCAGAAGAACATAGCAGACGTTCGAGGTTAAGGTTCGATTTCCCTCCAGTGCAAAGCGGATGACAGGAGATAAAACAAAGGTTAAGTAACCTTTAGAAAAAATGGGCACCACGGACCGTCTTGTATCAATTATGAGGATCTACCTTGAGAGATATTAGCTACCTGCCGACGATGCTAGCTGTTTCGCGACGACAGCAAGAGACCTGACGGGATGACGCTCGAGCTCATTCCCTGGAAGCAGGGCCGTCCTATTTTGAAGGAAGCAACTTGCGCGGATACGCTTGCTCTCTGTCCCTTTACCTCTCGTACTTCTTGTATGGAATGGATTAGAACGTCGGATATACATATTTATTAAATACCGGGCATCAAATTAAATGCTGATAAGAAACTCTGAAGTTGTCTAAATTGACAGGGTGTTTACACAATATTATTTATAAATTCGTAACATTTCATTAACATTAAATAGTTATACAGAATTATGTCAAAGTAAATTAGAAAACGACGAAGCGACTATCCGAAGTTTAACATAACAATAACAAGCTCAGCTTCAGAAAGCATTAATTAAAGTAGTAAACAAGATAACAGACTCCATCATAACAAAAGAAAACCGAATATTTCAATATTTTAAGATGAGTCGTTTCTTACATAATTTTTCATATCGTTTAGATGCTGAATTTTCTCGCGTACTTTATAGGTAAATATATTAGGGTTTCAAAACGCTGCCTAGAGGCACGACAAAAACAACCGTAGGAAATGATCGTACTTACTTCAAAGGAAAAAGACACTGCCTGCGGTGGGGAACGAAAGGAAACGATGTACAAATAGCTTTGTTCTGCCGAATGTTAATAAAAACCTAAAAAAACATTAACGGTGGATTTGAACATAAATAATTATCCTTTAATTTGAAAATATACGATCAACCCTGAACTAAAGAATCTCTTCCATTTATGTAAAGGCGTTCTTTAACTACGCCACTACAAGCTAAACACTGTGGCAACAGAAAATCGAACCTATTACAACTACATAAAGTTGCAATAAGCACGAATTTGTAACAAAAATCGTATAGTCTGATGTGCCATCATCGTCTTTTACTTCGTACTTTTACGATACTAACAAGAGCAGCCGTGTGATATACAAATGTTTTATTTCTACTGGGACCTTTACACGTGTCAAGTACTGTTAAATTATTTACGACTCTCTCGTTAGTAAACTCGCTAATGATACAGGCTTTACTCATCTCATAAAGGAATATCTTTGGTCTTTAATTATTTTGTCTTAATACGGATCAGTTAATTATGCCTATAATATTATCAAATCTACTTATAATAAATCTGTAGAGAGGTCAATTCTGTACATGAAATTATATATTTTCAAAATAACTATCAGGGGGTGATTAGTGATCGATACTGATGCCAAAAATGCAATCAGTAAAATTTTTGTCTGTCTGTATGTTCCTTATAGAAACAAAAACTACTCGACGGATTTTAACGAAACTTGGTACAATTATTCTTCATACTCCTAGGCAGGTTATAGTATACTTAGGAATTCCCACGGGAACGGGAATTAGCGGGAAAATTATTTTGTATGAAAAATCTAAACCGCCTAAGTTAGACGCTTGAAATTTGGCACCTTAGTAAACTTAAAGCTTAGTTACAACAGGATATTGCAAAATTCCCACGGGAACGGGAGTTAGCAGGAAAAAAACATTGTATGAAAAAATCTAAACCGCGTAAGATAGATGAAAGGGGTAAAACGGGATCCAAGCGTACGAAGTCGCGGGCGGCCGCTAGTATAAACATATTTTTCTAACAGATTAACATAACAACAATATGCAAGAAGCGAATATATTGTGAAAAAAGTGATCTAGCTTCACTTTAGGTTCGACGTGTTCAGACCAAAGTATTAATTTTTGTTGTACACCTTAAATGCCTACTTGTCCTTAAATACCTAGCCTGATATTTCAATGTGAAAACTTTATGGACACACAAAACAACTCAAAGTACGAGTATGTGCCAAAAGGGGCACCCACTTATTTCTATACAGGACATAATATTATGACGACACGATAATGGTTTTCAGCGGGAAACCCATTCGCCATTTGGGGTCCTTTCCGGCGACGAAAAGGCAGAGGATTGAAAGGAAAAAAGAAAATTTTAAAAATATTCGAACAATGAGTCTCTGAAGTCTCTACATAACCTTGAATCCATACAAATATTTAAAATGCTCAATATTCTGTTAACATTTTTTATAGATGTTTTATATGTATAGATATGTTATTGAAATCCTGGGAAAAATTGAGGAATAAGTAATTTTTATCCATATCAGGGGAAAAATCACGCAATAAAGGTTTTCCGTGGCAGACCAACAACATTTAACGAGCAAGCCCCTGGTAAAAGCGATTCCTAATAAATCTACAAAACTTTTAACTGTCATCCGACCGATACCAGCCGCGGCGACCACTTCTACTACCAACTGTCTTGGCGGCGCTGGTGCTCTCGAAGATGTTGTCCGTACAACGTAGACTCCGTAGGCTAAAACCTATTAAACTTTAAAAAAAAATTACTAAGGGAGAGTCCGCTAATATGGACCAGTTTTTTTCAATCCCATTTTACACATAGTTTTCTTTTGTTTTTGCTAATGTCCATGGTATATAATAAAAGATACATTATTCAACTTACTATTTCATAAGTATTAATTAGCATGATTGTTGTATATTTAGCACAAATCAACAAAGTACGAGTTCAGAGCTTCGGTCCAATTTAGCCAACCGGTTCAATAATTTGTACCCTGTTACTAAATTGGATTTCAATAAATTTCAAGCCTATAAAAAAACTATGGCAAAATATTATACGATACATTCTTAACAAATTAGGAAACGAAAAGGAACAGTATCTACTTTGCCAGTCTTTTGCTTTCATTTATTGTTAGTCAAACATAACTAGCTATTATAACTTCAAAATATGATTAACTAAAAAAAAATTCAAAATCCTTTGGTAAAGTTCCATACAACTTGATGTTGTACAATTTAGCCGACTAGGTGATAGTGCTTTTAAAAAATCGGTAAAAATTATAGCTTATAAGTACCGAAAAATGTTTCAAATAATTGTAATCCACACTAATTTACGCTTCTAAATAATATATTAGAAACACCCTGTGATTAAATTTAACAAAATTACAAACTAAACATGTATTGTCAAAAGTTACTTGAAAACAATGAAAAAATACTTTTCAAAATAAAACACACGTGTTTGTTGTCACGGCAAAAACCACATGACCGATATTAATTGATTTTAGTTGTGTATCGCTGAGTGTTGCAATTACAGACATTCAATAAATACTCTACGAAATATGAGGGTGGTACAATTTACCCGGCGGTACAATATACCGAACTCTCCCTATATTATATTTTTAGGCCGTCAGCGAGGTAAACACTGGCACCAGCTGGATGCAGAGGCAGTTCTCCCGCGTGGCCCGGAATATCCGGTACCGCATCAGCGGCGAGGGTCGCGCCAAGCCTCCAGACTGGTTCCTGGATAAGTTCGCCGCGCAGACCTTCACAGACCCGGAGGAACCGCTGTACCAGGCCAAGAGGTCCAAGCTGCTATGTGGACTGAAGCTCGCTTTTGACCCGACTCTGCCAGCTCATTATCACGTATGTAATACATTTTCTTTTTATATAATACTTAATTTCTAGGTGGTGTGATTATTTTCTAGGCCTAAGTTTCCTTGGGAGGCCTTTGTCCAGCAGTGGACGTCATTTGGCTGAAACAAACGATGGTATGATTGTTTTCAAAGATTTTTGAGCAAAAAGTCACTGCCACCGATGTATATTTTGGTATTGGTTTGGTTTGGTCACAGTATTGGACTAAAGTTACGAATGCTAAGAGATGTCAACAATTTTCATCAAATACTTGATAAACCACATAGGTACTGTGGTCTAGTGGTTCACTTATTGGACAACAGCAGTTATAAGGTGCTATTCCCTATGACTTATAGATAATATAATAAGATTGAGTATTTTATACACGATCCCGCTGTTTAATCTACTAGCTGTGCCCCCGACTTCCCACGCGTGAAAATAGTATAGAAATATTTCCCGTTTTTGCAACATCTTTCTTTATTTCTCCACTCCTATTGGCCGTAGGGTGATGTTACATAGCCTTTCTCGATAAATGACCTACCCAACACAAAAAGTTTTTTTTTTTTCAAATCGGACCAGTAGTTCCTGAGATTAATTAACCAACAAACAAACAAACTCTTCAGCTTTATATTATTAGTACAGAAGTATACTATATACTAATATTATAAAGCCCACTCATGTTTGAGAACGCAAAAGCGTCCGTGAGAGAAATCACAAGAGTAATTCCGGTGGAAAATAAATAGGCATAAGCACTTTCTGAGTCGCGTTATATCAGATAACATATTTGCGAGAAGGATGATTCGGCTCGGTGATATTGTAAAGGCTCATTCAATAATTCGAAATCCTAATGGAAACTCCATTCGTACCGCCATAAACTGATCCATCATTCGAGACATGTTTTGGTAGTCGGCGTTATTGCCGCATCTTGCTTGGTAATTTTTCATTATATTCAGTGACTACAGAAAGCAAAAAAGCTAACGAGTATTTTTCGCATAAAATGTATGGAAAGAAATCGTTTCAATTGTCCTCATTATTATTGCATGTCAATTAACGTGTAATGGGAATTACGCACGTAAAGCGTTTCATAATCATACTGTGGTTAACAATCAAGATCAAGTTTTTCAAATAACTTGTTACACATTTTTTTAATTGTATGGGTTTGATTTTAGTTACAATACCCTCCAAGATATGTCAATTAAATCTAGGCAAGCCAATAAGTTGTGTCTTTTTAACACATTTCATAACCGTGGCCAAATCAGACATATTCACCCGTATTCACAAACGATGCTTGCATAAGTGACGCAGTAAATCGAACACACAGCGTTGAATAGAGTTCTGTGATTGGTTCTCGTGTGACCCTATGCGTCCACGGGCACTGTGAGACCTCATAGTAATGTTTGTAAATACGGGCGATTATTATAGTAATTCACCATTGACCAAAACGATAGTCCGCCTGAATAAGTATTTCTGCCATTAAAGATGGAATTAAAAATATTTATTTGTTTTGTCGCATACAGTGGTTGGCCGTGGTATCCCTCGCCATTTTATACAACGTGGTGTTCGTCATTGGCCGAGCAGTCTTCTGGGAGTTGGACAACCTTACTTCTCTGTGGTTTTTCCTGGACTACTTATGTGACGCCATTTATCTCATTGACACTGTAATACACGTGCACGAAGGTTAGTATACCCCTTTTGTTTATTTTACGATTGTGCCATTATATTTGAGTGCTATGCGAATGTCTGCTGCTGTTGATGGAGCACACAAGCTAAGTGCTTATCAAAACGTAGAGAAGCATATTTACGAGTTACAACATTCTAAAAAAAAAATTGTTAAATCCTCAATTGGAAATACAAGCGTGGAAATGTGATTTATAGTTGTGACAACTATTTCTATCCCCAAAACTTTTAATTTACTTTAACTCAGTTAATAACATCAATTTGGGGAGTCGCGCTGGCTCAACAACAACACTCTATCCCTACTAATAACAGCATGGGCACGTGTAAACGCCAATCGATTAACGATCTCAACTCAAATCGATTGCTAAACAAGTGCCAGCATAAGTAGTATACGGGTGCACAAATGACATTAATGCTCAATATCCCGCAAAGGCCATTGAAATCGATATCCCACACGACAATGTAAGTTACGAGTATTGCTTTTGAGCCAGCTACACAAATCAACAATTTGACACCCACACGCAAAGCCACACCTTGCGTCAGCAAATTTAGCTAACGTGTGTACAAACAATCGACCCTGCCTAGTTGCTTTTTCCGTACAAATATTGCACTGTGCCTGATCTGACATGATTCGATTGGACTTTTGATAGATTGATCACCACCCCAATATTGTGATTGCGATATGTATGAGCAAGGACGTGATTTCGGAATATGTCACTTATAATAATTGAATTGGCATCTTATTTTAATATAGCTCACGCGAATTGTGATGCGACTAGTTTTAAAATTGTATGTTTCGTTTTAGATGTAAAAATGTGAAAAATCACTGTGTTTTTTCCAGGATACCTCGAACAAGGACTCATGGTAAAGGACTCTAAGATGCTAAGGCGCCACTATTTGAAATCTGACTCTTGGAGATATGATTTGATATCGTTATTGCCTACTGATATTGCATATTACTGGTGGCGGCCTGGATCTTGCGATTCCGTTAGTATAATGCTTAATATTTCCAACTATAGTAAAACATTGCAGACTAAGTGCTGTGATGGTTACAAAGAAGTTACATTGTTTTAAGTGTTTTTATGAATTTAGGAATTTTGTAAAACAAAACATGAAAAATATTAATCGTAGAACTTACATCGGGGTAATTCACGTAGCTTTGAAGTAGCATTATTGCGTAATCTTCACTTGACACTACTTTCTGGGACAGCCTGTATACTGAAGTGTCAATATTGGGTGTTTCAGAAACGTTTGCCGTGCCCTGTTATTGTACGACTCAATCGGCTATTCCGCTTGCCTCGAATGTGGGAGTGGTTCGATCGAACTGAGACAGCAACAAGTTATCCTAACGCGTTCAGGATATGCAAGGTAAATGTTTTAGAGATTTGAATAAATCACATATGCAGAATGTGAAAATAAATGATTGTTATGGATGTTCATAATTATTATTTTTATTTTTAGGTCGTCATGGCAATACTTGTCCTGATACATTGGAATGCATGTCTATATTTCGCTATAAGCTACGCCATAGGATTCGGATCTGACAACTGGGTTTACAACCTCACCGGCCCCCGAAACGAGAGTCTCGCCCATCAGTACATCTACAGCTTTTATTGGTCCACGCTAACGCTCACCACGATCGGAGAAACCCCACAGCCAGAAATCGATGCCGAATATTTATTCGTAGTTGCAGACTTCCTAGCTGGTGTTCTGATATTCGCTACGATTGTTGGAAACATAGGTTCCATGATCTCTAATATGAATGTAGCACGGGTCGAATTTCAAAATAAAATGGATGGCGTCAAACAATACATGGCTTTTAGGAAAGTTAGTGGTGAACTTGAGGCTCGTGTCATTAGATGGTTCGCATACACATGGGCTCAGAGCGGAGCACTGGATGAGGAGAACGTGCTATCATCTTTGCCAGATAAACTGAAAGCAGAAATCGCAATCCGCGTTCACTTGGATACCTTAAGGAAAGTACGCATATTTCAAGACTGCGAGCCGGGACTTTTGGAAGCTCTAGTGCTTAAATTAAGGCTTCAAGTATTCAGTCCTGGAGATTACATATGCCGAAAAGGTGATGTTGGAAAAGAGATGTACATTGTCAAACGGGGCAGACTCCAAGTGGTGGCTGATGATGGCAAAACTGTTCTTGCGACATTAAGCGCTGGTTCTGTTTTCGGAGAGGTCAGTGTTTTAGAAATTGCTGGAAACCGCACTGGAAATCGACGCACAGCCAATGTTAGAGCCTTGGGATATTCGGACTTGTTTTGTTTGGCAAAACGAGACTTGTGGGAGGCTCTAGCTGACTACCCAGACGCTAGAGCCACACTTACTGAACGAGGATGTCAACTTTTGCGAAAAGTAAAATACTCATTTTTCCTTACCTATGCACTTAATTTGCTGAGAATTGAAAGTTTTTAATTAGTTACATGCGTCATTTTTATATTTTCAGGACGGACTTTTAGACGAGAATGTTTTCGAAAATGCCCAAACAACTCAACAAAGTTTGGAGGAAACTGTTCACAAACTTGAAAATACTGTTGACATGTTAAACAACCGCTTGCAAGGTTTACTGTCTGACGTCGGTGAAGAACAGGAAAAAATTAAACAAAGGATCAATAAAATTGAAGGCAGGTCGGTAAAACAAGCTACCAAATCAAGCAGTGCGAATTCGTATGCTAGGACGAAGTAATTAGGCAACCTGCGAATTACTATCATGTACCTACACATTGCTGTGTTAAAATTATTGACATAAATACATACCAATAAATAATAAAAATGTTTTACATTATTTTCAGGATGCTAGACATTGAAGACGACGAAACGGATTCTGATGACGTTACATCCATGGGAGCCCCTGAATTGAGAAGTGAAATAGCTAGAGTGTGTGAAGCGTCTGGGTATAGCGAAATGCCCATAAGTTCAACACACGACACATCGATGTTTCTCCTCAGCAACCCCATACCAGTGAGGGAGCGAGGGCGCTCCCTCTGCGTGGAGAGAACTCCTGGAGGACTACTACAGCTTGGTCTGGAGCCACGAAGCAAATCCCTGCGTTTGAAGAGAATAAACAAAGATACGACAAAGTGAAATAATAGTAGATAGTAAAGACAATAAAATCTGTGCGCATTTGCCGATTCAAACATTATTGTTTTGTAAAAAATGTTATTTTTGATACACATTTTACAATACCCAATGAATTCACATTCGACGAGGGAGATGAAGGTTTTTAAAATATGTTGTTTTTATAAATTGAAATCTATTTTTCCCTAAGTGTATTAATTAAGTATTTATGAAATTTCTCAGAATAGTTTTATTAACTGTACAGTCATCGCAATATTTATGTAGCATAGATTAGTAGATCCTACAGTTTTATTTACAATACTTTTGTACTTGTTATTTAATGTATTTTCTGGTTTCATACAACATATACTTGTTAGACACTATACTCGTCAGTTACATAGTATTTGAAGAATATAGAGCCGTTAGAAAATATTCATAATCTCTTCATATTTAAGGCGTTGACTGTACATACTTGTATTGTTAGATTTAGAAAATATTAAGCAAAATGTGCGTCAATGGCATGCGGCTTTAAGAAGGAATATTGTTAAAGATTTGATCATGAAAGTATATGTGAGATGGCGATGATTTTATATGGAGACTTAGAAACCAAATAAATGTGTAAAATATGATCTGTTTCCCTTTATTTAAACCCAGTCTTATGTAAAAGATAGGATACTCGTATAAGGCAAAAAAGAAAATAAGTTTAGTAACCATTAAATTAAATGCTATAAGTTTATATCAATTTGGACTTTCAATTTCAATCGTGCATAAAGTTTAACTACATAAGACATCAATCTGTCTTTGAAGAAATCTTTAGTAGAAATGACGGGCATTTACGTCATAATGTCGGCAGTAAGATGGATGAGCTGAAGACCAACCTTTTTCTTATTTTGCTAGTTAAAATAAGTTTAGTAACCATTAAATTATACTCTGATTTTTAATTCGACGGAATTTTGACATTTCAGAAGTGTTGCCAATATTGAAACTTCATGGCTGAAGACCAACCTTTTCTTATTTTGCTAGTGTCGTTTGTTACAGGTCGTTTTAAAAGTGTCCTTTACAAACAGATAAACATCTTAAAATTTGACATAATGTGAGATGTGTTAGCTAGAACAATGCTCTTGGCACTATGTGTATGAATAAGAACCAACATGAATTTGAATACTTGCAAACTGGCTATAACCAGAAAATTGTTTTAATATGGTTAGGTAGTAGTCCATGAATGCCTCCCCAAAATCAACCTGTGAGATTTAATTTTTCCTTGTCTAACTCACACGATAGTTACTTGTGATGAGATACGAGTGCTAATCAACCAAAAACAATCGAAGACCTGACCTAGACCTTACTAGAGCATGTCAGCGTCCATTTTACAAAACCAAGCGCGCAACATACTTACATAATAAGCGCTCTGTCTAACTAAATCATTAAGTAGAACTAGTTTTCTTGGAAAACCATCAAATAAAGCCAAACTGCGATATTGCAAGCCGTTCCATTGTTAGGATCAGCATTCGTTTCAGGCAAACTGTACAATGTACAGTCAACATTACACTAGACATAAAACGATTTTAGTACCTACTTTTTGTTAGTTAGGAAGGAGATGTTGGAGGATTTTGATGAATTTTTAAGACGAATACTCAATGAAATGAATATTAATTTAGACAACATCAATGACAAAGCGGTGAAGCAGAAAAAAATATGTTGTTTTTCTATTTTTTATTACCATACTATTCACATCAATTTGAATAACACAGTGATTTATTAATGTTTGTATTATTCTTATACAATCTTCTACATACATATTTTAAAAGAAGGTACAGTACCCTGACTGAAACACTCATACGTGTTTAATTAACATTTACATTTAGACGACATAAAAGTTATACCTATTAATTGCTTACATAATAGAATGTTTCATTAATCAATTTAACAACGAGTAATTTAAACAGTGTATAGGGCTGATATTTATATACAAAACAAATAAATAAAACAAGAATTTTGGTATTAAACTCATAGCAAATGTAACTGTACAACAATATGAAATTATATACAATTGAACTTCAAACAAACCGATGCGGATTCCGAACGAGAATCGAAGGAATTTAAAAAGCGCGTTAGGGGAGTACCCATAGTTACTTCCGGATGTACCCATAGTTAATTAGAGATGTACCCATCATTACCTAAGGACGTACCCATAGTTAAAACCTTGGGCCCGTTACCTATCTTTATCGTATTCCGCGCGGAATTGACGTGTCGGTGTGATCGTTAGTTTAAGAATACAAAACAAATCAACCATATTCAACTATGGTACCTCAGCACCATCACATATTCCAAGGTTTTCAAAATTAAACAATCAAAATGTGACCACCATTATACATCAATGTCGGAAACAAAGTACAATAATAATAACTTACCTAATACATTGTTTGAATCAATCAATTTTATTTAAGTTGACTTTTTTAATTTACAAGAGTAATAGTAAAATTTTTAAAACCTCTACTTTCTTCATAACTACGTGTAGGTAAAATGCGTTTAAGACGCCTACTGTTTAACTGGGCGAGAGATATCTAAGCTCTATTAATTTATGTATCTTTCTAATCATGTAGTCTTATGTTGAAATAGCCACTATGTACTGTGTAGTTACTATGTAAATATTTGTGGAAGAAAATTCAAAAATGTCTACTCTACTTTTTACTGTGTTACGATAACAGAACTTACCTGTACCATATCAACTATACGTAAAGCAGGTACCTAATCCCCTTTAAAAGCATTGTTTAAAGAAGCTTACATGTAACGATTGAAACTGTTGGTAGGTACGTATAATTTCTAAAATGTAGATATTAGACGATTCAAGTCATTTCTCATTCATCCAATAATTTTAATGCATCCATGCGTGCCAGTTTTATAGCCTACATACAGTATTATTTATAACATCCAGATTATTCTAATACTCGTATACATCAGGTAAAAGTACAAAGTATGTGAAAGATGTATTCATACACTATCGAAGAATGGAATCCACAAATACAAATAAACTCGTAAATACTAACTGTACGTTTAATTCAATCATAGAGAGTGACCTTTCAATCGGATTACGAAACACAGACTATTGGAAAAGAGATCGTATTTAAGATTCCATTTACACGTCACAATAAAAGGGGCTACAATATATTTAATTAACATCTGCTTGTTATGTTGCAGTAAGTATTTCTAGACCGAAAACTCGCTAACAACTATGACACTACTTATCCTTGTACAAACATCAAGATGAAATTTAGAAGCAATCTACTAGATAATATTAACGGTATGCTACCATAAATGAGATCTTTATCATCGAAAATTATGTGTCTGAAACATAATGTCGGTGTGGACAATATCATCAACCCTACTGTGATCAGCTAACACTTATTTGGCAACTTAATCGCACGTCATTTACCGCCATTCAACAAATCACTGACAAAACGCTCAAATCAAAATCGTGACTTTAAACCAACTATTAATCAATAAAAGTGCACATTTATACACTGAAAATTAAATCAGTATCATATCATGGAAATCCATTTTTGGTTTACATAATTTAAATGCCTAAATGGAAGATAGTCTTGTTTCCCTCCAAACATGATTTTTACAACTTAACGCAAGAAATGGAAGATGCCTAGTCTTGTTCTCCAAACATGGTCTTTACATAAAGCATTTCGAATACGGTGGGCCATTCGACACAAGACTAGACGAAGCCTCTTCTTTTACTCCAACTGTTGAAAATAAAATACCAATTAATATTCAAAATTATGTACTTAAAATCATAGTAGAGTCGCGTACACACTAGGGCTTGAATACCGGAATTCCGGAATTTCGTAACTCCGGAATTTCGGATACATTTTTTCCGATATTTCAATTCCGGAACTGAAGGCAATATCGTATTCCGATATTGAAATTTTTCATAAATTATTTTAAGTTTTCAAAACGTTTAAGTATCAAAATAGGTTCTTAGATAAGGAAGTCCTTGAGATATGTATTCGCAACTTTATCTATATATATAAAAATGAAACCCGTTTCGCGTTGTCACGGCATCACGTGTGAACGGCTGAACCGATTTCGATAATTCTTTTTTTTAAATGTTTGTGAAAGTCCAAGGATGGTTCTTACGGAAAAAAATATTAAGAAAATCTCTACGCTAAGGCGGTACGAAGTTCGCCGGGTCAGCTAGTTAGTAATAATATTAAAGAGGCAATAGGGCGAAACCAAAGCTCCAAAATGTTCTATAGAGACAACTCTAATGGGCGAAGCCAGCTGAAGAGAGCGGATGATAGAGTAAAACCTGTTAATAGCTCAGCCAAAGGACAGTTCCAACAGCTAAGCTAACTCGACGCTATACCGAAGATTAGCCGGACATCAGCCCTTACGTGATTACTATATGCTTGGCGTTCTTAGACTATGAGAAGGTCTTTGAGCCTGGCTGAACACGAGGGCGATTCCTCTGCGATTCCTCTGCAGCGAGCTGTGAGGCAGGGAGATGTAATAAATAATACGTCGAATTCAACTCGGCTGGGCAGCGTTCGGGAAACTACATAACATCTTTTCGACCAAAACACTTCAGTGCCTAAAGACAAAAGTCTATAATCAGTGTGTGTTACCAGTAGTGATGACACACGGTTCGGAAACGTGGCCTCTTACTATAAGGCCTTATAATAAGCTCAAAGTTGAACACCATGGCATGGAGAGTGCTACGCTCGGTGTTTCTTTTCGAGATCGAACCAGAAATTAGGAGATTCGTAAACGAACTAAAGTTGCCTGACATATAGCGATCGGATTACCAAGCTAAAGTGGCAATGGCCAGGGCACATAGTACGTAGAACAGACGGCCAATGGGCAAGGTTCTAAAGTGAAGGCCACATACGTGTACGTGTTTGTCGGGAAGCGCTTTCTTTTTTTAACCAACTCCGGAACTAGAACCGGAATTCCGGAGTTGAGTGCCCAATATCGGAAATCAGTTCCGGAGTTGAAAACTATCCGATATTGCAAGCCCTAGTACACACATCAATACATACTTCTGTTTCTGAACTATCTTATTCAGCTGAATAGACATTTCTTACAGGCCCAGAGTATTTTTATTTGCGTTTTACCAAATAGATAATTAGAAATTAATCGTAAAAATTATTTTACGGTATCAGTGAGCATAATTTGATTGCGTCCTCTTTCTCTCACGAATGGGCAGTCCGAATCCTAAACCTTTGAGTTAATCCTTAAAACTGTCAAAAGTTTAAATTTACCTACCATCTGGCCAAAACGAGTAGCGAGATCCTGGCGAATCCGATGACGTCACGGCTTCGTGGCGCCGCGTGGGCGAGAAGTTGCTGGCTGGCACGTAGCCTGTGTTGGGGCTCGGCGACCCGCCTGACGAATCAAACATTTTAGACTAAGAGATGGTGAACAACGCCAGACCTACGTCATTTTATAAAAGCTGAAAGATTGTCAGCGTATGCTCCCAATATAGGATAGAATGTTGGTGAATCATGAAGGTTGGGTCATCGTGGCTTTGGCAGCTATCCTAAAAAAATTCTCCGGCAAGGAGTTGGAACTGTCAAAACTGTCTGGCTGATATGGAAACAACTTCTAATTGTTGCCCAAATATTATACATAAAAAACAGTTTTTATGGTATAACGTAAGTAGAATTACAGTCTATTGAATATACAGAAAAAAACCACCGTAAAAGTTAGCTTTTATAAAATGACGTAGGTCTGGCGTTCACTAGCTCTTAGTCTATTTGACTGTCAATTTTAACAAGTTATTTAACGTCATGGAATAAGGTTCACAATAAGTACGTAAAGTTCTCTTGTCATCGTTTTCATTTCACCTGCGCTGCTGAAGTCAGTCAAAAATCAAAATCAAAAGTATTTTATTCAATTTAGACCACTATTGGCACTTATGAACGTCAAAATACAGTAAATAAAAAAAGGTAGTCCTTATGGGGGGGTGGGGGGTACTTTACATGTCTCCTTATCTTTTGGGCCCTACCAGCGCTTCGAGACAAACATATGGGAAATGCCGAGAAGAAACGCCGGAACAAACTCACCTCTAGTGTTGAGTGCTGAATAAATATTAGTGTATAAAATTCAAGATTTATAGCCACTTATGAGACATTTAAAAGCAATTATACGATAAAAAGATAATTTAATTTGAAAGTCCCTACATTATAACAATAACCTAGGCTACATACTGGAATTAACTTTGTTCCTAAAAATTGCAGCACTCAAATTGCGCCATTGGTAATGGCAAAGTGAAAGAAGGAATATTGGACCCAGGCGCGGATCCACCGTTGTGGGCACTGTGGGCATGCCCACAACCCTAATTTGCTTGTTTTAATTATGATCTATTGATAAGATCGATAGGCATGTATGTATGTTCCGGGCATGTAGTGATCCAACTCTCACTTTACTAATTTTTGGTGGCTGTGCCCACAACCTTTTTTGAGGGCTGGATCCGCGCCTGATTGGACCACTTTAAAAGCTTACGTGCTGGAAAAAATAAGTTGCTTTTTGTTTTCCAAGCTTGTCCATTCTTCTATTGCCTCAAATCCGTTCTATACAACAAAGTGGTTACCTCTTTGTTGCAACTAACAAAACATGACTCTACATGAATATACCTACTCGTATTTCAAAATTTTCCTATCTAAACAATCTTCCAAATTAACAGCGATATCTACAATACTTGAACTACGCGATAACACACGTCATGGTTAAAACTGCCCTCTGTAGTTTTCATCTGGAACTACGCTGTAGGGTTGCCACGATTTTCAACCTTCATAGGCGTCCAACAGACTCACCGCGAGGGTAAGCGTCGAAGCGAAAAGTATTTATGCTTTCCGTGTGATGGCGCTAGTCGTATTAAGTACCTAACTACTTGTTTATTGCCCTTTGCTTTCAGATGATGAAACTGATATTAAAGTTTCTTCAAAGGACCGATATAAGTGCTTACTACTCGTATATTTAAATCCTAATGGTCATTGTAATTTATGAAAAAACATTATGATATCTAAATCAGGATGAAATCGGGAACTGACCTGCATTTTGTTGTGTCACAAAGTTGGTACACAAGGCGAACTTAATGCCGTTGGGTATTCACTGCCAGTTGACATATTAGTATGTGTTGGTTCTTTTAAAAGTTTTAACCAAATAAAATTAATTATTATTATTATTGGTTTTTGGGCCTTTATTTGCGCCAACTCGACCAGGTTTGATCTATTGTGGCAGCTCTTGTCTTTAAAGTTCACTGCTTAGTCCCGTTGAGTCTATAAATTTCCAGATTCTTTGGAGCGTGATATCTGCTATCTCATCCGGGTGCATGATGTGTCGCCCGAGATGGATACTTCTTTTGCTCATAAGCGGGAAGCATGAGCAAAGAACATGCATGGCCGTTTCTTCTTCTGTATGGCAGAATCTGCACAGAGTTTCCTCGGTCATGTTCATGTTCGATTTATGTTTGTTTAGTTTGCAGTGGCCGGTCAGTATTCTAGTCACTGCACAGGCTTTGTATCTTTTGAACTTTAGCAGTTCCTTAGTTACTTTATTGCTATATCCCTGAATGAGTGCTTTTGAGTGTTTTTGTCCCGATGTAGACTTCCACCACTCAATAGCCTCTTGTTTGCAGAGGGCGGTTAGTAGCGTGGTGGCTCGTTGTTTGGTAATGCCACAGAACGGTTCTACGCCGATTTGAGGGTTATCGGCTCCATCTCTGGCGAGTTCATCTGCTACTTCGTTTCCTTCTATATTCGAATGTCCTGGTACCCATGTAAGCGTTACTTTGTTGGTATTTCCCAGTGCATTCAGTGTCTCGGTGCATGTTTGCACCAATTTTGACGTGTATTCGAAGGATGTTAAGGCCAGCAGTGCTGCTTGGCTGTCTGAGTTGATGTAGATGTGTTGATCCTGGAGCTTCCTTTCCAAGTTTATCTCTGCACATTTGTTTATGGCAAAGACCTCGGCTTGGAAGATTGAGGCTTCAGTCCCCATGTTTAGGCTAACTTTGAGCTTAGGCCTCTCTCCGTAGATCCCGCAACCTACATTATTTTCCTTTTTGGATCCGTCCGTGTACCAGACGTGACTACCTTCCTTAAATGACATTTGGCCTTCTAGCCATTTGTCTCTAGGAGGTATGTTTACGGAATATAGTTTGGTGAAGTTACATTCCGTATGCATGTCGTCACTGGGCATGCACAGAAGTTTGTTTTCAAGTACTGATTCCTTGAGTCTTATCAGATTTTGAGAAGCCCATCTGACTTTCGTGCGGGTGCAGATTCTATATGTGCTCTGCTTGGCTTCTTTTTGCACATGCATATGCAGTGGTATAAGATCCAGCAGAGCATTTAATGCAGCCCCTGGTGTCGTTGATAGTGCTCCGGTTGCTGTGATGCAGGCTAGCCGTTGTAGGCTGCTCAGTTTCTGTATTGTTGTCACTTGGTTGACCTTGCTGCACCAGACGGCAGAGGCATAGGTTATTATCGGTCTCACGACCGCTGTGTACAGCCATAGGGCGATTGCGGGTACCTAGATACTTGGTTTCGCTTGAGAAAGGAAGAGTTTTTCCGTTTAATTTCAGATTTACCAGTTTTTCCAGTTTTCTCTTCCTCGTGAATGGTATTATCACTGTTTAATAAAATTAATTACCTTCAGGCCAAAAAGGGAATCTGGACACAGCAGCATCGGAAGATGTGACGATGTCGTGGTGTCGAGTTGGAGAGAAACCTCCAGAGGACGGCGCGTAGCCAGGCCCTGGACTTGAAGAACCCTCTGAAGACAGAAAAAAGAAATAATAGTAACATACGAGCAATTCCTGCTAAATTATCATTCATTATCATTAGGTGGTAAATGCACAAGTAGGTACTCTAAATAAAACGTCATACCTAATCACCCTAGTGACCAAATATTATGCAAGCAGATTATATAAGTAGCAACAAAAATGAATCAAATTCAAATGCAAGATCCGAATTATTTCGGTGCCTATTTTGTTATTATCAAACGATAAACTAGCAACCTCGCAATTTACCTAATTACGAGTGACATTTGACGACTGATTAAAATGGTGTGAAACTAATTAAATGTTCAATTAGTTACTTTAATTTAGGCTGCGTTAGTGCGTCGCACTGTATTACAAAACACTACGGACTACGGTATACAAAGCTTTTTGAACTTTATTTACAATAAACAGAATTTTTTTTTTAAATTAAGGCAAACTTAACTCTAAACAAAATAAAAATATAAACTTATGCGTTAGTTGAATTAGTAGTTGAACTATATCAACTACACTCGTATGATGGAAAAAGATTTACACTTATTTCTTTTACATCAATTTTTTTTTTTTTTTTTTTTTTTTTTTTTTAATAACTCTGAATAAATGTCATGATTCAAAAATACAGCATTTCATTGAACATACGATCGTGTATGAATGATATACGAGTATACAGATTAAATAATAAATACTTCAGAGAAATTAATATAGAATAATAAAAAACTTATACCTACATAGATTTGTTTACGTTACGGTTTTGAATTAGTTGAAAACCTTTATAATCAAGAAAAACAAATTTTCTTACCTAGCGATGTGACTCCAATTGGATTGTAACTATTCATTGGGATTGTTTGCATCGGTTGCAATGTGTTTTGAAGCTGAAATCAAATAAAAAGAAAATTTAGGTAAATACAAACAAGAAGTTTTTCTTCCCATTCGATGAAAATTAAAGTAATTTTTCGTTTATTGCTAGGCGTCTGTGAAAATAACTGACGCAACCCTTAACAATGAGTGTCCCCGAATCTCGAGTCGTAGTTTTTTGGGAGAGTTTATCTCGCTCAACTGTGCCAATAAGTGTCGATAAATGACACGTCACTCCGTCCTGTTTTGACTTGGCTGAGGGTTTTGGACAATTTAAGTTTATTCTTTTTAAACTAACTTTGATGAGTTTGCAGTATCTTAATCTTAGCCTTAAACAACGAGAGATCTTAGACCTATCTTGGTTCTGGGCAAGGTTAAGCTTTAGATCACAAACCTGTAGGTTAATTATCTCATATAATTATCTCATAACAATCTCTGATTGAGTTTAATATTATTAGTGCAATTAACTTATAACTCGTAAAATCGTTTTATTCTGTAATGGCATTTATCTTAATTGAAAAATGATGGCAAAGCGGCCCGAGCTCTGGGATAGCCTAACGTAATCTGTGGTACGACTACCAAAGGAAGAATTAGTCACTAAAGCCTATATCAGGCTCCATTTCGATATTAGACTGTCCGCTTTCCAGGTGACCCCGACTTGTTGAGCTAAAATCTCTCTAGCTACTTTTACCATTATTAATAAATAAGCCTTGTTTAAAGACATAATAGAGTAGGTAAGTAATATAGATTTCGTAGAAAATTTAAATCGACATTACAATAATTTAATTTATAAAGAAAGGCAAATTCAGATCATTAATATTTTCCATGTAAGCCTTTGTTTAAATCAGAAGCATCAACACTTGTATCCAATTTATCCATGGCAATTTATTAAAACTTATTCGAAAGGTAAAGCAAGAGGTTTTACTGCCAAAATAATAGTAAAATAACAGAGATGCCGGTAGATACTACTCGAGTTAACAAATTCACCCAGCAGAAATGCAAGGCAGTGATTTCATCGATAAACGTTTTATTGGGCGGTCATAGTGGCAATTTGTGAACAAGCAGCTTTATTGCCTCTTGATACGCTACTAAAATTTTAATCTGAATTTAATTACTGGATCGGAATCAGCTAGTGGGCATTGAAATGGTGTTCGAAGCTGTTACATTAGAGTTTGTTGCAGTTTACCTTTCAAGTGTACCTACTATTTTTATTTTAGTATTTCGAGATAGGACATGAAATTTAACAAAACTGTTTTTGCGACAGTGTCCACCAATTCTTCAATTTCAACCATTCCTTAGGGAAGGAGTCCATAGCTAGATCATGATTATTGTTTTTATTAACGGGGTTTTTTCAACACAGCAACCTCGCAGGACTAGATAGCTGACATCAAAAGCAACAACATATTTTGTTCTACGAGTTTTGACATTACTCATAAAAATATCCTCATTTTACTGCATATCGTTTCAGCCAAAAATGACGTCCACTGCTGGACAAAGGCCTCCCCCAAGGTTTTCCATAATGAGCGGTCCTGCGCTGCCCGCATCCAGGCTCTTCCCACGACCTTTACCAGATCGTCGGTCCACCTAGTAGGAGGCCTGCCCACGCTACGTCTTCCAGCCCGTGGTCGCCACTCGAGAACTTTCCTATTAAAGCCTAAGAGGAAATGTATGATCTCATCTTTTCCTTTGGCTGAAACTGCATATAATTATCACAAAATCAATTTACCATACCTGCCCCTGCAGCTGATGGCTTGCGAACGGGTTGACCGACACTGGCGAAGACTGGTGGGGCATAGCGCTGTGGGGCGAGCACCCGGGGGGGCTGCGGCCCATGCCCCCACAAGCGCCCGAGTACCCCAGGCCCGACGGCGACTGGGTCAACCATGTCCTGGAAGCAACATGACCGAACTTGTTTAACATCAATGCTTCAGTTAACAGAACTGTTACTGGCAGTTTATCGGCAATGCTTTTCGATACGACTTTATACATATACAGGGTGGAAACGACAGTTAATGATCTCACTCGATCTTCTAAACTATACAAAATAATCTGAAAACTATTCACTGATCCAGTGCTTCACTGAAACTTGAGCAGCTTTGAGCGATGTTAATTACTTGGCACTCAATCTAGAGCAAACAGTGACTGAATGCACCACCTTTTGACAGTGGCTGCATTCCAAGACAATGGTTTTCTAGTTCAACAGAAAATGTCACACTTCACCATCATAATAATCAGTAGTAAATTCGAACTCTTCTTCGAACTTGAATAGACTAAGAGCTAGTGAACGCCAGACCTACGTTATTTTATAAAGGCTTAAAGTTTGTCAGCGCAATCTCCCAACATAGCTAAGAAACATGGCTAAACATGAAGTGTGGGTCATGGTGGCTTTGGCAGACAGACGGTGCGAAAGGTGTGTAAAATACCAACTTAATTACGTCAAAGTATAAAGGTTGATTTTTTATATTTCCTTCAAAATGTTATTAGAAATGACGTCATTCATTGACAGACACCTACCATGGTGGCAGCCCTTAGCCAGACACTCTAAAGTTCATGAAAATGTAGTCCTACTTACGCAATACTATAAAAGCTGATATGTATTTACATAAAATATTTGAACTATCATTTGATGAAGTTTCCTCATCAGCCAGACACTTCTGCGAGAAGTCTTCTGATCAGTCTGCCGAAGCCACCATGACCCAAACTTCATGTTTGGCCCTGGTTCTTAGCTATATTGGGAGCATGCGCTGACAAACTTTCAGCCTTTATAAAATAACGTGGGTCTGGCGTTCATTAGCTCTTAGTCTAAATTAGCAACAACTGAAATACAAAATAGCAGGAATTGCCAAAATGACATTTGTAGTTGTAACCTTTAAAGTTCATAGGAAGTGGGTGTTTACATCAATGTAACAATCGGATATAAAAACAAGAGTTGACAAATAACTAACATGTTTTTACAATTCAGTTCAGTTTTAAAAAAAAAGAAACCGCCACCTATTTCTGTAATCCCCATATCCACGTTCCATCATAGGAATGTTTTACAAACAAAAGCAAATAAAATATGAAATCATTTAAGGTTTATTCATTCATATATGTAATGCATACCGCATTTTAAAGCATTATTTTATCGAACCTACTTATTTGGTTTTATAAGCAATTACGGAAATTAAATAACGAGTTCACATGATGATTGTTTTTTATTTCATTAAAATAATCAAATCAAATCAAATCATTTATTGCATTACATGTGTGGTTTGACAGTTATCCCTATCTATACTTCTAATATTATAATCTATACTAATATTATAAATGCGAAAGTAACTCTGGTTTGTCTCTCTTTCACGCCTAAACCACTGAACCAATTTTGATGAAATTTGGCATAGAGATAGTTTGAGTCCCGGGAAAGGACATAGGATAGTTTTTATCCCGGTTTTTGAAACAGGGACGCGCGCAATAAAGGTTTTCTGTGACAGACAAAATTCCACGCGGGCGGAAAGCTAGTTGTACATAAGTGTAATTGTGAACTTAGTACAAAGAGTATGTACGCTTCTGCTTCCGTGACGGTCAACTTCGGAAAATTTAATTTGAGAAGTCAAGTAAACTTCAAGAAATGCCAATAAATGTACAAATTGATGAATTATACAAGCTTCATCGGAAAGTATAATTTTAATTAGTTTCGAGAATGTTGATCATGGCAAAACTTGACGCAGCTCAGTGAGGAAATACATAGATGATTCGGCACAATCCTACAGCTGAGTGAAGAACGTACATTTTTTTAAAGTGAGTCATCCATTTTCATTTTAAAAGTATTTTCATTTTCACCTTTTTTTTTGGTCGGCCGTTTAGTGTAGTGGTTAGGAACGGACTGCTATGCCGAGAGGTTCGATTTCAATCCCAGCAGGGCAGAAATTGAAATGATGAATTTTAATTTTAGTCACGGGTACTATGTATAATATGTATTAAAAAAAACTACTTATGTACCAACTTATGTAGTATATCCGTTAAGCTAGCACCCTTAACACAAACATTTGGGGCAAAGTAGATGGCTCTGTGTGAAATTGTCCAAAAATATTTATTTATTTTTAGCTGCACTTTATTTAACCCAACGCTTGCACAAAGTATGACCCACAAAGGCTACGCAAAATGCGGTTGGGATCGTAATTTTACAAACAATAAAATGCTATTGAAATCTGAGTCTTATTTTAGGTGAACACAACAAAAATAATAACTTATCTAAATAACTTTGGCCTGGCTAGATAAACTTTTGCTTATCCCACGTTTATGTTTGAAAGTGACGGATCAACTGTGGACTCTGCTACATCAGCACGTGTAGGCATGAGTCATGTAGGTAATGATGTCGTAGGAACGCGAAAACTCGGAACGGAACAACGCATGCAGTATATCTTAGTCGCTAGCCCATTTAAGGTATGGGATCATAAGTAAGGTTTATTAAGGAAACCATTAAAATATGTACGAGTAAAGTTCATAAGTAGCTACACTATAAGAGTAGTCCGAACGGACGCTAGTGAAAAGAGTGTATAAAATGTCAAAATTGTTAGAATACTTCAGAGCACATGGACCACCTGGATATTCCCTACATCCGAAAATCCATACCTACGGGTACAAAACGAGTGCATGTCTCTGCACTCTTTATGATAGGGGCTAGGGACTTTTTAATGGTTTTAACATTTAGGAATTCTTAACCTTCTTGATAATTAATTATTATTCTGGGTCGGTTTGTACGACAGCAAAAGCTCATTTTAATAATAGGACTAAGTACCTACAACATACAAGTAATGTAAGCATTTTTAAATATAATTGCCTTGTCCTGAAGCAGTGGTAGGGTGAATACTGGGACGTGTAAAAGTGCTTTTTAAAAGCCTACTTGCATAAATGAATGAGTTTTATGAGTTTGTTAGTTTTAATTAACCAATAAAAGCCAATATAATCAGGCATAAATAAATAATAAATAAATCTTTGGACAATTTCGCACAGCTGCAGCTAGCCCTAAAGTAAGCAACTTAATGCTTGTGTTATGGGTGTTAGCTTAACGGATATACTACTTATATTCTTTTTTTAAAATACCTACATACATATTACACATAAGGTGGGTGGACCATGGAAGGCCACGCTCCTTTGAAGGCCAACTATCAAAAAGTCGTAGTTATTGACATGTAAACACATATTCCTTCGGCTATACACTAAGATCCATCAAACTCAAGGCCACAGATGCGGCGGCGAGTCGCTCGCGCCGCTATTGTGGCAGTGCGATCTCACGCTTCGTAGACTTCGGTCGCCGACGTTACAATTGTTATTCGCGCGCACAGCAAAACGTCAGTTTTTAGTTAGATAACCTATTATTATTTCATATTTTTTTACTGTGAATTGTCGTATAAGGATATGTTTATGGTACTAAAGAAAAAAAAATAGTTTTGCCTCGTTTTAAGTTAAAATATTGGTAGTGTTCCCAGGAAAGCCAATGATTCCTTATAAGGCCAATCAAAAATTTGACAGTTGGCCTTGCTAGGGTACATGGGCCTTACAAAGAACATGTACAAACCATGAACATATGAACAGTTACTTTTTAGTTTTAAATACGTACCGTTACCGTTAAAACAATGTTTTATATTTATAATATGTTTATTAATAAGGGTTATTAAACTTTTTAACTCATATTAACTCATTTTGGCCTTACAAAGAACGGACCCATAAGAAGGCCATTTGAGGTAAAAAAAAAAGTTTTTAATTTCATTATAATACGCGTCGGCAAGTTATTTGATGTCAATATAATACTCATTACTACTGTTTTTAAATAATTTCCATTAATATATTCATAGTTATACGATGGTGTTCAAGTAATGTTCTTTGAGTTTTTTATAAATGATAAAAATATATTGAGCATTTAATGTTTTGTTTAAATGAAAGAGCTTATTATGTAGTTTTAGTAAAAGCGAATATATTAATTGTTACAACTCTATTTTTAAGTTGAACGACTGATGTATAATATTGGCCTTGTTTGGAGCCGTGTTTCTTGTAAGGCCATTTGGAAGAGCTTAACAAAACTTAAGTTTAATGAATACTGATTAAAGCTAGGTTAAAAAAAAGTGATTTATATGGTACACAATAAAACAAACTATTATTTGATAATTTGTTTTTTTCATTTATCCAGTTAATAAAGGAATAAAAAGCGTTTACTCGTTAGAGTGGCCTTCCATGGTCCACCCACCTTAGTAACAGCCAGACCCGTCACAGAAATTAAAATTCATCATTTCAATTTCTGCCCGACCGGCAATCGACCCCGGGACCTCTCTTCATAGTATTCCGTTCTGAACCACTTCACCAAACGGCCGACATGGCATGTGTGGGATGTAGATTGTAGAGTTGACGAATATTATTTAAAAATGGCGCTAAATACTGTAAATTGACAATAACTTTATTAATAAATGTATAAAAAGGGAAATCTAAATGAATTTGAAATTTTGAACCCAATTTAGTAACTACTCGTACACTACAAAATTAAGGCGTTTACTGAACGTAACGAACTGGAACTCAGAGTAATTGCTTCACTCTAGATTTGGAACGGCATAGAGGCGAAAATAGCGAGAATGGCCAAGTGGAAAACCTTGAGGAGCAACGTAAGACTTCGTGAATAGGCAGAGATAAAGTCAGCCGACCCCGCCCATTACCTGACCGGCCAATGGCGGCCCGACCACATGCACATTTTGTGCTTTACTAATGTAAAGCGCGATAATCGCATTCTAATCCCATTCGGACCAAATCTTCTAGACGGGATTTGGTACATTCATAATGTGGTGTATTTAAGAACGAATTCGGCCGTTTGGTGTAGTGGTATCGGAACGGACTACTATGCCAAGAGGTTTAATTCCCGGCCGGACAAAATTGAAATGATAAATTTTTAATTTCTGTGATTGGTCTGGGTGTTACTATGTATAATAAGTATGTATTTACAAAAAAAAGTGTTTAGTATGTTTATATCCGTTGTCTAGTACCCACCTAGTACAAGCTTTGCATTATTAATTATAACACTTTAGGTGTCGAGGAACCAGATGGACAAAAAAGAAAATGTAATAATGTTCGAGGCTCATCGGTGAGCGCGGCGTTCAAAGTGTTAACAAGTGTAAAAAAGCTTCTAAAGCTTAATTACGCATGCCTTAAAAACTACCGAAGATCGTTCACTTAAGCACTTTTCTAATTAAATTAATACACTGCCAATGATTTTTCATATAATACGAATATCTGCCGAATGCTCTTGAAAGAATCGTCTTTTTTGCTCTTTGAATCATAGAGTCATATACTATTTATATGTTTAACTATCTACCAACCAATTTACTCCTTACGTACAAAAATTAAAGATAAAAGTTTTAGCAAACAAACAATCGTGGAACTCAAGCACTCAGCAAATAACGAATCAATTAGTATTTGACCGGTTGCGGTATGTAGTCTATCTTATGTAGATTATCTTAATGTAGTCTTGTCTCTATATGTAGGTAGGTAGGTACCTATCTTAAGAATTAGAAAATAAACATCTTTAACCTTTTCTAATGAAAACCTTAAACAGTATAGTTTTGTAATACTGCTGATTATAATAACCCAAAACGTGATAGTGGCTTATTATTACACAAATATAGATTACAAATTAATAGTATTGTTTACAAATATTGACCTTATCCAAGTGACACCTTAATTTCACAACAAGGTCACATTAATCATAAGGTACTATAATTATCTAGAGACTTAATAGCTGACAGACACACTCTTGTGTTATTGTGACAAACAGATGAGAACAGTCACCGCGGAAACGGGAAATAAAAGTCTTCGCGAACATAACATTATTAATATATCATTAGCATTTGTTTTGTAAACACGACAAGGAGTAACGTAAATATTTATTATAATTAAAATTAATTTGTAATAATGTCTCACTGTGAGTTAATTCATCGTTTGATTTATGACGCGGGAAGACACCAATTAATATGCTTTTGTTTTTTATTTTGTGAGCACAATCGGAAGATAACACAAGGTTTATAAAGATCTGCTATGTTTATGAAGAATGTTTAGCATTTGCGTTTTATTATCGCGAGTGATTTTTTTCCTCGAGGCTGTTTTTTTTATTTCTAAGTTTAGAATAGTGTATCTGGGAATGTTATTTGTACAAATGAGATAATTAATAAGGTCGTTGTTTCTTCGAAGGGTCAATGGTTTTGTAAATGAATCACATAGTTTCATGTGACATAAATATTCTGACGCGGCATAAACAAACCTAATATCAATTTACAAACCTAATAAGTACGTCCAGTGCGAGACTTTACGTGACAAAATTTTGCTGCAGACAACCGAGTACAACCGACCTATATTCGGTTACTAGTTCCATTGGATTTAAGAAGATGACCAACGAAGTTGAGTGCAGATGGAAAACTGTGCTGAATAATATCAGATGTACAAAATGATGCTTGAAACTGAAAAGTAGTGAAATATGCAACGTACGTATCATATCTCGGGTAAGACGGTGGATACGGCGATCCTGAGCCGAAGTAGTTGCGGGCCCCCAGCGGGAGCGGCTGCATGTGGGGCGGGACGTGCTGGGCCACGTGGGCCACGTGGTACCCGTCCCCGAACAGCGTCTTGGAATAGGGCGTCGCGCGAAACGGCCGCTTCATCCGTCGCCGTCGCCTGAAGTTCCCGTTCTCGAACATATCACCGCATTGGGGATCTACAACAATACTCCACTCACAAACCCAAAAAACTTTGCATACACACACATAGACGCCAGCATTTCGCTAAGAACATCAAGCGATGGATAATGCGGATGATCACACACGCTCAGCTGTTACATTCGCGAGGCCGATGAACAACAAAAATTGCGTCAGACATGACTAGCAAACATAACATTCAAATCAAAAGTAATCACTAACTAAATGAATTGACAAATCGCTATTTTTTGCCAAATGCCTATAACTAGCGAAATAACTCACCAAGGGTCCAGTAGTTTCCCTTCCTCTCCCCGCCGCCTTCTCTCGGTACTTTGATGAAGCATTCGTTCAAGCTTAAGTTGTGTCTTATGGAATTCTGCCAGCCCTTTTTATTTTTCTCGAAGTAAGGGAATTCCTTCGTGATGTAAGCATATATCTCGCTGAGAGTGGCTCGTTTGCTTTGACTGTTTTGAATGGCCATCGTGATCAGGGCAACGTATGAATAGGGAGGTTTTGTCAAAGCCTGTGAGGTCGGTGTTGTGGACTGAGGTTTCATTTCAGAGTTTCCAGGACTTGACGGAGCCGGTGGTTTAGCTTTGCTTTTAGTTTCATTGCTGAAAATAACATTTTGTTGTTGAAAATACTCATTGTAGGTGGCATCCTTTTTTTCTGGATATAAGTAGTTGTTGTTGTTGAAGTAAGACCTGTTATTGTTGGAATTGGTGTCGTCCCTAGGGAGTGGTGGTAAAGTTAGGGTTTGATACACGCGGGACAATTCTTCTTCGCTCTTGACTTGGGAATTCGGCGTATCTGCTTCACCGTTGTCTTGCAAACATATTCGGTGGTCGTATGGCGGTGTACCTGACAAAGAAAATTTACTAACTTAAACATTTGTTACATCTTAAATCAGACAAGATACGAGGAATTCAAGATTTTTAACTAGAAATAGAGTGCAGTAAGTACCTTTATGAACAGGACGGAGACGTGACTATAAGTAAGGCAACAGTTGGTCGGTTGGTTTGGACACGAGATCATATTTCAAAACGACTACAGCATCCGTCCAATACATAATTAAATAATACTTAGGTAGGTTACAAGGTATACAAGTCAAATATTTGAGTGTGGCAAAAACACTGATCGTAACACATTATCTGCAATGTCAGTGCCTACATTTATTTCAGAATGATTATGGATAATGATAATATTTTTTTATTTAAACATAGTAGGTACCTAATTTGTATTTTGAAGTGCTTTTGACATTTTCATAATGACCATTGCATTTTTCGGAATAAAAGTAATTGCAATAATGAATTTTATTGTTCCTACAAATTATTAAAATTGTAACTAAAGATACCTAAAATTCTTTTAAGAAAGTATGTATACTTATTGAATAAGTAGACTCAAAATAAAATACTATAATAATTTAGAAACGTTTAACGAAACGGTTGTTTGGTAGCCACCATCTACTTCTTGTTATTATTATGTTATTACATTTAACGCTTGAGATTTAGCCAATCTTACGCGTACGTGCCTCCCGATACGGTTTTCTCGGAATCCACGGCTAAAGTGCGCTCTACCTAAACAAGCTCTATACCTAACGTACCGTGTACATGGTAACCGAATACCTACTCCACACGTCATAGCTTATTAACCAAAAATATATCAGGATAATTATATCTGGGGTACCTAAATGTGATATTTTTGTTGGATTCGTCGTAGTCGGAGTCAACACAAGAAAGAGTTAATGAAAGTGTTGCCTCAGAATCAAAATATGAAATAAGTGCTTTATTATGGCTTCGCAAATCGCTTCTAATGATGGTTGTAATACTATAGAGATGAAATTTCCACATTTTGCATGTATATGGAATGCGTCAGTTAGACGACGCAGCCGGCTGCATATCGGATTCGAACGGCGCTGCGAGCACCGCAAGGTATTGTGTCGCTTACAGAACAATGCGTCGTATTTATAAAACATTAAAAGCCGGCGTATCGTTCGTGAAATTAATAACAAATAACAATTGTGAAACGTTAGTTCGGGAGCAGTGCGAATTACCCATGCCGTATAACTCGGCTTGCGATAAATGGTGGGATGGGATCTACTCGGTAAACCGGCAGATCCTTAGCGCCAAATACTAAAAAAAACTAAGAAACTTAGACTTTGTCAACGAAGTGGAATAAATATAAATTTACCAGTTTTTGACTTAAAATTTTTGAGACTTAAAAATTAAGAGCACTCGTCGATCAATGTAATTTTGTAACAGTTCGATACTCATTTTGTTTTTGTTTTTAGGAAATAATAATCACTTTGCTATTTAATACTCTTAAAATGTAATGATACATTGAGCCTACGCTTCATTCCATAAGTACAAAACTTTTATCCACAGCAACAACAATGATTGAAACAAACCTTTAGAAAATTGATATGCCAGGTAGGTATTTAAAGGTTTACCCCATAATTAACAACACGGAAAACTGACGATGACTCGATATGCTACCATACGAAATTTGCTGCGATTCATTTCACCGTGGATTTGATTGATACAATCTTTGACAAAATAGTCAAACATCGTAGTTATAGCAAACTCGGCCCACGTATGACGATTAAAGACGTGATAACTTATTTATAACATATTGACACAAATAAGTACGCCAACTTAGTAACATCAAACCGAGAAAACGGGAACATTTATAAAATATACTAGCACAAATTCGGAATAATAAATCAGAGCTACCCTAAAGGCAGGAAACGTAATCTTGGTGATCAATTAGCGAATACCTCTAGGCCACTATTATGTCATCAACGAAATAAGGTCTTACTGAACTTACAAAGTACAAAAAAGAAACGTATATTTTTTTTCGCAGATGGGTAATTTACATTGTGAATACGAGTACAATTAAGTTTAGTTTTAATTGGCGATATGGTTTTGTTGTTACTTTGAAACTTCAATATGGGGTAACTTTTCTCGTAAGCTTTCTTTAGCAAAAAAAGGTTTAAGGTTTAAAAATTTATATCTCAAAAGAAATTGTACATTTCACTTAAAATGAGTAACAAAGTATTTCACTTATAAAATAAACGTAGGTAGATCTTAAGCCAAGGGCGTACGGATTAAATTGTTCACCAAAAGCAAAATACTCGTCGGTAGACGTGAAAAAACAAGACAAAATATTAACCTTATTAAGTATCACTTTTTGACTCAAGTGTACTTAGAAGGCGAAGGACCTTTTGAGGATGTGGAACTTTAATATTTTTTGAATAAAACATGAATAAAGCACTTGAAAAATTATTTCAAAACCTACTCAGATTCTTTATATAAAAATACATAATATTGATTGGATTGGATATCAAAGGTGGTTCTGAAATGCATACAGTAGGTACATACATAGTATACCTATTACATGGCCGAATTGTATTTCATGAATTGCCTATTAGATTTTGACCAATGAACGAGACTTATCCCACCTATCATTCCCAGCAGTGAAACTCTTGAACCAGCACTTACAACTGACCATCAATAAAAATCCACCGTGAACCCAAGTTACACCAACTGTGGGACAGATAAGTTAGTCAATTGGCCCACAACAATGAAGTAGGTAATAAAATATTACTGAATGAAGACATAATAGGTATAAGTGTTGTTACAATTAACTGATATTGTTTTATTACCCGTTTTATGCACTTTATCCACAGCTAAGAATTTTATAATATTATGTAGGTATAATGAGAACCAATAAAATTGATAAGTAAATGCAACTTATGAAGGATGATTCAAGAGTCGGCCAATTATCGAAGTGAAGAAGCAGGTTCGTTGGTTCCAATGAAACCAAAAATGTAGAGTCCGATATAACACTGAGCTAACAAAATCCAGACTTGCATCAGGAGTCAACGGGTAACATGATACGTCTGAAATGTTTAGGTATAGTGAACATTCTGTAGGGTGCAGGATTGATATTTGTTACCCTGTCTACTACAAAACTTATTTGGATTATCACTGTTTCATACGTTATAGTAATAAATTGTGTTAGGTATCTTGCTAATAATGATCAGATATTCAAATTAAAGCTGTTGCACTTTATGAACAAAGTCAAAGGCACCTAATGCTCAAGAATAAGTATATCAGGTACTTAACTAGAACAATATTATTATACCGCAAATGTTATACATTTTTAAATAAATGACTAGGCATTTATGTTTCTAAGTGTGGACCCGTAGGCGTCGGTAAGTGAAAGTAAGTACTTTTTAAAATGTACGCTTGAAGTCATTGGGTTTGCGGAAAAAAGCAATTGATATTCATGAGAATAGAGAATTTCTCAGTAATACCAATTCACTTTTTACCGGCTACTCCAATTAATAAACCGGTGGTATGGTCATTCACAAACAATAATGTTAAGATAGGCACACTTTTAAATGCCTAAAATACAATTGCTGTTGTCTCACAAAGGAATGGTCAAATTCCATTAAATTCATAGTTAATTCAATTGATCAGACTCTCGTAAATAAAGCTGCAGACATATAAACTTGCGTGCTGGGTCCATACTCGTAAGCTTTTATTGTCTGCCCATTTTCAGTCTACAACATTATACATAGTTAAATATCTCAGTAAATACTTATGTAATGTAGCAGAATAGTTTCTATCACAATGAATCATTTCGTCATATCAAAAGGTTTTTTTACTTTACTACATGAAATGTGCCCACAGCACGAAAGCCGCCCCTTTTAAAGACTGAACAAAGAGGTATTAAAAAGTGGTAACGGCTTCAGTCACTTACGTTAAATAGTCGAACCCGATCCTTGGGTATTACTTAACGCGTCTACTGATAATGGCGTCGATACACTCGTACAAAAGGTAATTGTTCTCTCAAACAATAAAGTTTAATAACGCAAGGTTCTAGGTAAGCTGCGCGCACGCATTGTGCAAGTAAACCCGATGACGATGACTGTTATAGTTAGATAACTCTTAAGTAACGCCGTACCTAGACTTTTTAGCTTCGTGTTACTGTGTGACTCAAAATAGGACTAAGTAAGCAGCGATTCCACTAATACAATATGATACTTAGTAATGACACATCACAAACGGCAGAACGTTTGTCAGACAATAAGATCAATTCATTCAGTTGTTTGCTCGTCAGCATCCGTTATAGGCATTTATTTCTTACTGTTAAACATTAGAAGACCGCCGAATGTTATCTAAACTTTTTGTTTTGTAGACTACATTGGTGATGTTTTCAAAAATGAATTTTGAACTTGTAAGACTTCTTCTTACTTACTTCATGACCGCTCGTAACTAAACAGAACTACAATGTGCATTGTTTGTTTTGTTAGCTTGATATTTTGTGAAATTTTTACATAGGAAGCCATTTAATATTCAAAATTAAAAACAGATAAAAAATAATGATACACACAGCACGGATTGCAAGTAGGAATCACGAATATTCGGACTGACACCACAATCCACACTCAAAAATGAATAAAAAAACCCCGCGCCGTGCGCCCACGTGTTGAGAGTTTTTGCAAAAACATTGACTTGTGCCTATGGGGAAAATGATATAAGGTACTTGATACAAATAAGGCCTACGTTCTAATAAGGCCTATACATCAGAAAACACAGATAAACAAATCCAACCGGGATAATACTTCAAGGACACGTACTCGTATGCCCTACAACCCGGTAGAGAGCGAGAGCGTCCCGATCCACGATCCCAGCACCAATTGGCACGCGTTCTTCTAAGGTGGTGGGTGATTTCGTGCTCTCTTATAAAAATCTGGCGATTTCATCTTAAATTTTCGGTAAAATAACGCTGTTTTAGATTAAGCTTTTCTTAGTAATCGTTTCTAAATATTTCTTACTAGCTAATAATTACCT